ATAACATGCTTTGGTTAAAATTTCTCAATGGTAGTGTAAAACAACACCCTTTTTACCTTGTCAAAATCAGCTGTTTTTAGCAAGATGTTTTAGTGCATGTTCCTTTAAATGATAATGAGCTCTGCTCACCCCGCCCGTCTCTTCCGTGGGGTGACGAGCCGTTCTCATGATACTGTTTACTTCAGTCACGGAACTTGCTAACTAGCACGTTATTAGGAAAGGTGATTTGCAAAGATTCATAAAAGAACCTTATACTCGCTTCTTCTGTAGGTGAGGCTGGATCACAAATGATTCTCGCGAACATAAATGCATTTAGGTAGATCGGGTGCGCATTCCCTTCAAAAACAAAGGTAATCCACTGCGTCTTCAGTGGCTCAGATGGGGGGCGGTTCTCGGTTCAGTGTACTGGTGATCCGAAAACCGATGCAACCGGTTCTTGACTCGAGAACGAGAACCGCTCTAACCGGCACGCTGCACGCACGTTCAATATCATCAGCTGCTTTACTCGTGTCGTGTTCATGTTCTATTTATTACAAACTCAATTTGTGAATGTGTCATTGTTAACTATAATTAATTACAGTACAGGTATTTCATAAATCATCCCTTATTCCTATTAAACATAGAGTCTTAATTATTATCCAACTTCCCAGACAAACCCCTTTGGCCTATAACCTAACATAATCTTCAACTGAACAAAGTACACAGATTAGATACATTCATCTTTTTTAAAAAAGTAAAATAAAATATATTTATATCACACTATCTGATTTTTAACAAAATACTTGGATAGCATGCTTTTCGTCCTCTTGAAAAATTACACGCATGCGCAGTATCATCAGCTCATCGGTTCTCAAATCGGACGTGTCCGAAAGAAACGGTTCTCGGTTCAGTGTACTGGTGATCCGAAAACCGATGCAACCGGTTCTTGACTCGAGAACGAGAACCGCTCCAGCAGTGGGCGTGTACGTTCATTATCCGGCTGCTCTGCTCGTGTTCATCTTCAGTTCTCTCTTCACAGCAGTTCAGTCAGTGTACTGTTTGAGTAAATAAATTACTCCGTGATATTGGTTTATTTCGACTCAGAGGGAGTGTCAGCCATGTTAAAAAAGTGAATAACTTAAGTAATTTGTGGATTAATGCTTACTGGAGACGCGAACCGTTTCAAATGATTCAGTCAGATTTGGTGAACTGGTTCAACCGGTTCACTAAGAAGAACCGGTTAAATCGAACGATTCGTTCGCGAACCGGACATCACTAATCTTTAACATTATAGGGTGATTGTGTACACACACTGCCAACACACCTTTCAGTTCAGACAACTTGTAAAAGTGCATGTCGCATCCAATGACCCCGATGAGGTATATTACATATACCTATGCAATTTATAGTCCTAAAACATAGGAATTAATATTTTCAAGGCATTCAAGAACCTTCCTGTAGGTTATTACCATGGCAGTTTTAGTTAAATTAGGTTTATTTTTAACATTTTTGATTTTGCTTTTATTGAAAAGCTGACACATGGGCAGCTGAGAAGACGCCTGAGTCAGTGCTAATGTACAAAGGCAAACGAGGAAGTAACATGCTGAACCATTCTAGATGGACACAGCTGTTGTGGTGAATTCACCCAAAAATGACAGTTCTGGCATGATTTACCCCCATGTCGTTCCAAACCTTTGACTTTCTTCTGTACATTATCGTTTATGTAATCATACTCATTAATAGTATGAGACTATAGACAAAACTCACTAATATCAACAATAATCGTGTTCTCTTGCTTTTAATCCTTTCTGGATGTTGAGAAAAGGTAAGCCATCCACAGGATGTGTTTGTTGTCCTCATGACGGCTGAATGTGACCTTTGACCCTTTGTCTCTACTGTTCATTGGTTGTTTCTGTACTTATGTATGCTCTCTCCATAGTACTGTAACCCACTTCCTGTGAATGTGAACTTACAGTATGTAAAGAAGATCTCTGGAACTTTATTCCTCTGTCCATTCATAACAGTTTTTGTTTTCAGTTTACCTCTTCTTATGTCTCACTGGTGTTGCCATATGAAAACGGTGGAACCCTTTCCTATGTAAAATGCTGCTGTTTACCATCCAATGTAGTCCACTTTGCTGAGTCCTTACAGCACTATTTGAGTACAAAGAAGTTGTTTTAACTTTATTTTCTCTGTTGTTCCTCAATCTCCAGTCATTTCAGGGAGGGGGACACCGAACACTGCTCTATGGCCATGCCATCCTCCTGAGACACTACCACTCTGGCATGGTGAGAGATGAATGACGGGTCCTTTTCAATTATTTACTGATGTTTAATGTGACAGCACTAATTTTAAGGAGACATGTTTTTTACCCTGAATTACAGTATCTCAGCTGCTTGACGACATCACGTTCACTCACAGACAAGCTGGCCTTTGATGTGGGCCTGCAAGAGGATTCTACAGGTACATGTAATCCACTGTTGATCGATAATAATAATATTAATAATAATAATTATAATAATATATTTTTAGTAGTGCTAGTGGTTTATTATGTGTTTTCCTGGTTGTATTTCTTTTTCTTGAGCTTAACAACAACTACATAATAATAATAATAATAATAATAATAATTATTATTATTATTATAGTTGTTGTTATTATTATTGTATTATTATTATTATTTATTTAGTAGTACTAATAAAATACAATAAATTAAACAATAATTATAATATTATTATAAATCTATTATTATTAATATTATAAATATATTTTATCTTGTTATTATATGTACAATCATAAATGACAATAGCATTTGAAATATGCATAATTTACATTAATAAATAAATCCAAAATGCAAATATAGCTGGGTTGACGGTAGCAGCCAGTAGCGTCACATTTATTGACAGTTCACTATCAAACCCCAGACTTCAGGGATTCGAAAAGCAACAACAATGCAATGTCCAATCCCACTATAGAAACCCAGGAAAAAGAGTATTGTCTGAACAGTGTGAACCAGATGGTAAAGCTAACGAATGTCTGTCTCCTCCACAGTCTGCAAATGGCACATTTATATCACCATGAAACACACTGAGTGCCGGTGCACCTCAATGACAATCAGCTCTCTGGCTATGCACACTTGAGAATAATCAAAGAGGGAGAGAAGAAAAAAAAAGACAGACAAGAACACCCAACACACAAACATTCACACAAACAATACCCACACATGACACAAACAAAAAGTCATCACAACAGTCACATTGTCTTATTAAACCTATATTTGTATGCTTTTGGTTAGGTTATAGCAGAATTTGTAATAATATGTATTTTGAATTGAATTGATTTCTTTTTACTTGACAAATTCTTTGCATCTCTGTTTGTTCAGGGGAAGCATGTTGGTGGACCATCCATCCTGCATCCAAGCAGAGGTCAGAGGGTGAGAAGGTCAGGGTAGGAGACGACCTGATCCTGGTTAGCGTGTCATCAGAGAGATACCTAGTAAGACTTTTTAGATCCTTAGTGACCTAATAATAATATCAAACATGATTCTCTGTGCAGCTGACAGCTGGTATCTGTGATAACTTTTGCAGCATCTGTCATACGCCAGCGGGGACCTGATGGTAGATGCCTCCTTTATGCAGACCTTATGGAACATGAATCCAGTCTGCTCAGGCTGTGAGCTGGCAGAGGGTAAGTGTTCAGCAAATACAGAGAATTCCCAATCCAATAATAACAAAATGTTCTGAAATATCTCTGTAATTTGTAGAGATAATGTAACCTATATATTTATAAAGTGTGCGTACGCTCAGATTTGATCTTAGAGTGTGCGTACGCTTAAATCCACGCCAACACTCATATTTGTAAAAACGGGCTTTGACGTGGAATAGTGCTTAGCGTCACGTCAGGGTCTGAGCAGACGCACGCACTTTTTCTTGTTCGAGTACTGCAGGTTTTTGGAAATGTAAGCTGTTCTTGCAGCTCGCTGTTCTAAATTAAAGAATTTGGATGATGACTGCGATCTTTTACATGTTAATGACATTAATTCGGAGTCGTTTACAAGACAGAGAGCTGAAACCATTCACATGCGCGCAAGTTCAAGATCATTGGCGATTCATAGATTCCACATCTGAAAGAGAGGCGTACGTGCGTTTTCTGCACGTACGTTCATTCTATGAATCACACGTATGCATATTTGAGAAATGATCATAAGATCAAATTTAAGATGGCTTCTGCACAACGTTTTATAAATGAGGCCCCTGGTCTTTATATTTGCTCTTTTCAGGGTACTTAACTGGAGGTCATGTCTTAAGATTGTTTCATGGTCACATGGATGAGTGTCTGGCCATCTCAACACCTGATCAGGGAGAGGAGCAGCGCAAGTAAGAGAAGAATATATATATATATATATATATATATATGTATTACTGTACTGTCTGTATGTACAGTAAATGAAGTGTTATGATTGGCTAACCTTCTCATACTGTGTATTTCACACTGAATGCTTAATATAAATGATAGTAATGTCATTCTTTCTCTAGGATTGCACAATATGAAGGAGGGGCGGTATGTAGTCAGGCCCGTTCATTGTGGAGACTTGAGCCTCTGAGAATTGGGTGAGAAAATGGCTCATCTCTTAACTGTGACATAATTATTACATTTTTTGCATATACGTTTTGTAATACACATCTGTTATTTCTCTGCAGTTGGAGCGGTAGCCACATGAAGTGGGGCCAGGCTTTCCGCGTACGCCACATCACAACGGGTCGGTACCTGTGTCTGGATGAGGAGAAAGGTCTGATGGTTCTGGATCCAGAGAAAGCCAACACTAAATTGTCTGCCTTCTGTTACCGTGCATCAAAGGTAGGTTTGAACTTTTATAAATAAAAATATATCTGCTTTTTATTTGACTAGTTATCGAATTCTAATGGCATTTCTCATTCCTGGAGAACAGGAGAAAGTGGAGGGGGCTCAGAAGAAGCGGGACGTGGAAGGAATGGGTGTTCCTGAGATCAAGTATGGCGAGTCCATGTGTTTTATGCAGCATCTTTCCACAGGGTTGTGGCTCACATACGCTGCTTTAGATGCTAAAGCGGCTCGCCTGGGAACCATGAAGAGAAGGGTATGAAGCTTGCTGAGCTACAAACTACATGACACCAACTCACACACCTGATGTGAAACTGTTGTATTCCTTATGATCTTACATTTAATCCAAACTCGTTCTTTATCTTTCTCTCAGGCCATATTACATCAAGAGGGCCACATGGATGATGCACTGACTTGCTCTCGCTCTCAGATGGAAGAGTCTCAGGCTGCTCGTATGATCTACAGCACCACAGGCCTTTTTACACAGTTTATCAAGTACGACTGTACATCACATACAATCTAACATTCATTTATACTGCATATTACTGTCACTGAATATTGTGTAATACTTTATAGGCAGAATAAGAATTCGGTGACATTCTATTGTAACATTTATTGTTTGATAAGAAAAAAAAAAAAAGTGAAAATATAAGCAATATGACATTTTATTATGCATTACTTTGGTGCGTTTTTTTATCTTAATTTTTTAAATAAAAGAATACCTTTATTAAGCAAGACATTAATTAAAAACATTTTAATTGAATAATAAATAATTAAATTAAATTAAAATAAAATTCCCACAAAAATATTATATATATAGCTGTTTATATGTATGTATATGTATTATATGTATAACTGTTTTCGACATTGATAATGTTTCTTGAAGCAGAATATTAATTGATTTCTGAAGGATAATTTGATTGAAAATTGCATGTTACATTTTACATTACATTTTACAGTATATTAAAATAGAAAACAGTTATTTTAAATTGTAATAATATTTCACAATAACATTTTTATTAAATATATTTTTTTTGTATTGTTTTATAATAATGTTTTATATTAGTATAGTATATATATATAATATTTATATAAAATATTTTATATTGTTTTAATCAAATAAATTCAGCATTGATGAACATAAGAGAATTCTTTCAAAAACATTAAACAGTCTTACTGACACCAAACTTTTGGTTTGCAAGTATGAATGTATATGTGTATGTCTGTATAAATAAACTATTTAATTAATTAATTAATTAATTAATTAAAGTATAATATTTCACAATAACATTTTTATTAAATATATTTTTTTTGTATTGTTTTATAATAATGTTTTATATTAGTATAGTATATATATATAATATTTATATAAAATATTTTATATTGTTTTAATCAAATAAATTCAGCATTGATGAACATAAGAGAATTCTTTCAAAAACATTAAACAGTCTTACTGACACCAAACTTTTGGTTTGCAAGTATGAATGTATATGTGTATGTCTGTATAAATAAACTATTTAATTAATTAATTAATGAATTAATTAAAGTATTTTTTACATATTTATAATAAAATTAAAGCTTGCTAAAAAGCTCTGAAAATTAGCCTATTCAGACTGATTATTTAAGAAAATATTTTTAGACAGTTGCCTTATATTTTCTTGTGTGTGGATCTGTGTGTGAATATGCATGCATCCTCTTCTCTCTCTTGTACATCAGATGTCTGGACTCTTTGAGTGGGAAGAACAAATCCCCCGGTCTGGTGTCCCTGCCATTGGACGGAGTGATCCTGTCCTTGCAGGATCTGATCCATTACTTCCGGCCTCCAGAGGAGGAGCTGGAACACGAGGAGAAACAGACCAAGCTGCGCTCTCTACGCAACCGACAGAACCTCTTCCAAGAAGAGGTGTGTGTGTGTGTGTGTGTGTGTGTGTGTTTGTGTTTGTGTTTGTGTCTGTCTGACTGACAGTCAGCACTGATGCCCTTTAATTAATGTCTCTTTTCTGTTGCAGGGGATGATCACCATCGTGCTGGAGTGTATCGACCGCCTGAATGTCTACAACACTGCTGCACACTTCTCTGAGTTTGCCGGAGAGGAAGCTGCTGAATCCTGGAAAGAGATTGTCAACCTGCTCTATGAACTGCTTGGTGACTGAATATAAATAGATATACATTTAATTTTTTTATGTTTTTGAAAGAAGTCTCTTATGCTTACCAAGGCTGAATTTATTTGATCAAAAATACAGTAAAAGTCTTATCTTGTGAAATATTACAATTTAAAAGTACTGTTTTCTATTTTAAAATGCAATTTATTCCTGTGCTACAGAGTCACATGATCCTTCAGGAAAAAAATGCTGATTTTGTGCTTAATTACTATCAGTTATTATTAGTGCTCAGTTATTAATATTGGTTATGATTGCGTTTTAAGCCTAGTGAAAAATAAATATACTAAGATTTATTTGAAATACATTTATTTAATGCTAAATATACTACAAATACATTTACATGTTTATGTACTTAATAAAAATACCCTGCAATTGTACTTTTGGTATACTAAACTGGTATACTTAAAGTCTGCTAAATTGGAAAAACTAATTTTGTATTTAATGCACTTTAAATGTGAGGAAGCAGTGCTGAAGTCCAACTAAAGATATATTGAAGTATACTTCAGGTACACTTTAAATATCTTGCATTTAAAGATGATACTATTCAAAAATCATACAGTCCTCATCAATAGTGACATTAAAACACATTTTAGGCTTAATATTAAGAAATGTGCATTGTGCACAAGTAGTACTCCAAATAAAGTTGAATTATAATTTTTATATCAGCAAGTCTCAAGCAATATGTCAGTAAATATGAGAATATATTTGAACTAAACTTAGTTTGAAATAAATGTATTTTAAATATATTACTTTTTTACTAGGGAAGATATGTTAAAATAGAAAATAGTCATTTTAAATTGTAATAATATTTGTTTTTACTGTATTTTTGATTAACTAAATGCAGCCATGATGAGCATAAAAGACTTATTGAATAGCATCTAAAAAGCATAATTTATTAAAAATATATGTATTTTTTTGTTTCATCCATTCTTCATTTGATTTCTTTTTTTTATCAGATTGATGGATTCTGTTTGTGAATGTGTCTCTGTTTTCACAGCGTCGCTGATTAGAGGAAACCGTTCTAACTGTGCTCTGTTTTGCGATAACCTTGACTGGCTGGTTAGTAAACTGGATCGTCTGGAAGCTTCTTCAGGTATATATAAAACCTTCCTCGAGCACACGGTCAACAAATGCCACAAAATGACTAACAACCCGTCTTTAAACCTTGCCACATACTTCTTGCTCTCATACTTCTTTCTTATCTGTTGGTCTGCAGGCATCCTAGAGGTGCTGTATTGTGTTTTGATTGAAAGTCCTGAAGTCTTGAACATCATTCAGGAGAATCACATCAAGTCTATCATTTCTCTCTTGGACAAGCACGGTCGAAACCATAAGGTCTGACTGCAAACGTGATTTAGGTCAAATAACATTTATCATTTTGCTACACACTGAAGATCTCACTGTCCTCTGCCTTTGTCCGGACAGGTTTTAGATGTATTGCGCTCTCTGTGTGTGTGTAACGGTGTCGCTGTGAGGTCCAATCAAAACCTCATCACAGAAAATCTGCTTCCGGGCCGTGACCTCCTGCTGCAGACTAACATCGTTAACTATGTATCAAGGTAATATCTGTTGGTTTTCGTCCAATTAAAAATGCTGCATTGCACCTTGTTTTCTTTTACTGCAACTTTTGTTCCTGAAGGTGCACTAAATCAAAGAAATTGAAAAGATTTCAAACTCTTTAACTACATAAATGTGACTTACTTCTTGTAGCGTGAGGCCCAATATCTTCTTGGGGACTTGTGAAGGCTCTACACAGTATAAGAAGTGGTACTATGAGGTGATGGTAGACTATGTGGAACCATTTGTGGCAGCTCAGGCTACCCATCTGCGTGTTGGCTGGGCTCTGACTGAGGGCTTCAGTCCATACCCAGGAGGAGGAGAGGGTTGGGGTGGCAATGGTGTGGGTGATGACCTATATTCTTATGGTTTTGATGGCCTTCATTTGTGGTCAGGTTAGTGTGGTGATCTTCTATATTCTATATGTGTGAGTGTTTGTGGTCCTTAAACCATATTTTTGTTCTTTGTAGGTCATGTGTCACGTCAGGTTGCTTCGCCCAACCAGCACATCCTGGCGGCAGATGATGTTGTGAGCTGCTGTCTGGATCTGAGTGTGCCCAGTATCTCCTTCCGTATCAATGGCCATCCAGTCCAGGGAATGTTTGAGAACTTTAACGTAGACGGCCTCTTCTTTCCCGTCATTAGCTTCTCTGCTGGAGTGAAGTAATTAACATTATTGTTTTGTATTACATAACCTTTTCTTAAAAGGATAGTTCATCCAAAAATGAAAATTGCCCCATGATTTACTCACCCTCAAGGCATCCTATGTGTATATGACTTTCTTCTTTCAGACGAATCCAATCAGAGTTATATTA